TAGTGGAATTATTATTATTATTTTTATTTCACAAAACAAAACAAATCAACAAAAAACCAGATTTTGAATTCCCAAAAACTTGACCCTGAGACACTTTCGATGATTGGTGTCTTAGGTTTGATGCTCTCAACTTTTCATGTATGTATATCATCTCTACACGCATCAATATCTTCATACACGCCTGAGTATTCTTAGCACTTTTAACCTGACCTTTTCAAAGGACATCCCAATATAACACTGCCTCTGTGGCCGAACGGTTTGCAGGACTGCCATGCAGAGTTCCAGGGTTCAATTCCCGGGGCGGGAGAACTATTTGTATGGCTTACATTTATTTCTCTCCTGAGTTTGGGTGTAATTTGTGGTTGTCTACCTATGTGCGTGTCCCCCACGTTTTATGTGTAGGCGTGTCGCTTACCACCAGGCGTATGACTCAGTTTATTGGACATCATGTGATGGATGTCGCAAGAGACGCTATTACAGAAGAGCTTCATGTATGAATTTATTACTAGTCAACGAGAGTGAAAAATTGACAATGAATCAGCAAAGTATAAAACAATAACTTCGTGAATCGAGTTGTTTACCGGACACCTGTATATAATTAGTCGGCATTGTTATGACGGCCGGCTAATTAAGATGCGAGAGACGTTCCTATTGTAAAATAGGGTTGTCACAGATGGATTTTGTTTTATTCGTATAATATATTAATTATAATAAGAATTCATTAGGTACAATTTCGGAAATGTAGTAGAATCTAGTGCTGATAAAAAGGATGGAGCCTCAGCACTACATGCTTGTTTTTAATCGACTTTAAAAAAAGGAGGAGGTTCTCAATTCGACTGTACTTTTTTGTATATATATTACGCGGTAACTGTGTTGAAAATTATTTTTTTAATTCGATGATTATTGGATATATAATATATATTACAGGGTGTCCGGTAAAGAATGGATAAGCCTGAAATGCCTTATAGTAGAGCTTATGAACGTTAAAAAAAATATAAAGAAAAATATATCCCATGTAGTACCTAAGATATATATTTTTTTCTTTAAATTTAATTATTTTTACCTTATTTTACGTTTTTGTACACAACGACTACAAGTTAATCAAGTCGTTCGGTTTTTTGGTGTCATAATATTCTACATTAACTGTGCTAATAGACAGGCAGTATGTATGACTAACAATGGCACTTAAATTTTAAAAAGTTTTATTTTATTTTTTAAGTGCAAAATTTTTTTTCACAAACTTTAAACATCTTTGATATGAAAAAAAAATTATGATAACCATAGTGACCAAGTATTTTAAAATAATGTGTATTTAAAGTAGATTTCAAAATGGTATAATTAATTATTGTATGTAATATAAATAGAAAATTATTGCTATTAATGTGCAAAAGGAGTAAATTAGACTAAAAACTAAGTTTTCAAAGTGGGACCATTTTATGTCCTTAATTAAGCTTGACCATTGAGGTTTAATAAAAAAAAAACAATTTGTTTACAACAAATGTTCAAACTATTTGCCACCGACTCTGATGCAGGCTTTACATTTTACGAATAAAGGCCCTTTTGAGTAGCCGCATAAATCGTCGTTCACTTATTGTTCCAGCGGCTGCATTGGCACGGCTACGTAAGTCTTCCAAGGACCTGATCGGCTTACTATACACAATTTCCTTAAGGCAGCCCCAATAAAAAAAAATCCAGTGGATTTAGGTCCGGTGAAAGCGGAGGCCATAAAATTGGCCCAGATAACAGACGGTCGATCCTTCTGTCTGGGTTTCTATTCAAATATGCTCGAACAGGGACCGCATAGTGCAAGATAGCCGTCATTTTGTAACCAATGGGATTCCCTCAGCTCCTCGGACACGTCTTCCATTAAATTAGACAGATCATTCTGAAGGAACTCCAAATAACTTTGACCAGTTAGGTTGCCCGGTAGTTCAAATGGTGTATTTGGTGGTGTAATGGTGTGTTGAAATATATCGCTCCACCGCTCTTATCGATTGAATTACAGATCGAGTCACTAGATCATATGAATTTCCCAAAAATAAATATTATTGTACTTTGTTCTAAAGTGTAACTAGTAAAATAATATAAAATTACTACGGTTGCGTATAATATTTGTGTAATTATTTTGAGTTGATTTTTTGTGTTTTATCATTAAGAGATGCGCGGGAGAGGTATTAACCGCTATGTGTGTATTACTTAAAGTTTAGGTAAATATACAGTGCCTACTCTTATCACTAGTAATAAAGACACTTTTTTCAATTGAATGGTAAATTATAGAGCATAAAAACTAGTTCCTTTTTTAAGTTAGCTAGAATATTCTTTGAAATATATTGTTTTTTTACAACAAGCATATTAAAGTAATTTCTGTAGCACTAGATCCATGATAAATGCGAAAGCACTATCGAGAACACCCAGATCAAAAGCAGTTCCGAGAATCTAACTCAAGACCTGAATGTCTAAAATGCTAACCACTGGGCTATGAAGGTCGTCATTAAGTAGCTACTACACAGTGAATCCTGCATTTCAGAAATTTAAGTCAGCAATTCTCAGGTCAGGCACTAAAAAAACGATCGAAAGATCTCTTTTACTTTAATTCTCGAGGTCAAATTACAATTACACAACAAATTCACGGTAAATTGTACACTGTACTGACGCTGAAATGATCGAATAAATTCTTGTTTACCTCGTCCGTGTACATAGACCCGTTATCAATAATTATCAACGCGCATGAGCAATGATAAGGAGGCGAAAAAATTCAAAATAATTCAAAATGAAATGTATTGGCTAATAGCAACCCTACATGAAGGATGCGCCAGCGCTCGTTGATGTCGCAAACAAGGACCAACTGAATGCCGGTTCGCCCAACTGAAAGCAGTCCATTGCCGCGTACACAAGTTCCCGCGCGGCGAGTGCGTTTATACAGGCCTCTAAGCCGCGCACTGGCGTTTTGTCACGTGACGCGCATACAAAGAGGGTAGACTACCAAGTACCAACTGAAACAAAACGCCAACAATTGTCGGCCTTGGCGTGGATGTCACCTCTTTATACGGGAACGCGACAAATGACAAACATTTCAACGTTGCGTTAAGTAAATACATGTGACCTTGAAGATTACTAACCT